TCACCTCTGGTCCTACTATGACTAAGTGAATGCTATTGTCATCTTTATGCCATTCTAAGGGAAAAATTAATGTTCTAAGTATTATAAATGCCTCTACAACAATAATTATCAAGGAAGGTGTTAGTTGGAACAATTGACATATAATGAACTACTTCTTTTTTCCTTCTTACAATTTCAACACTACATCAAGCTAACGAAGATAATTTTCGACAAAATGGAAATTATGCCCTTAAAATTGAAGGGTTAAGAAAAGTCTTAACTTAACCCTCTACACCCAAACATCAGTATGCATATTCTCTATATTGTTTCCCATACATTTCCTAATGTGCTGGCAAGGAGAATTTATTTCACAATCAAGAGTTTCTTAAATTGTAAGGAGAAATTAGATGCTAATCACTCTTAGGCGTCAAAGGTTTAAACCATGGTACATAAGCTCTGATTGGCTTGTCACACCAATGAGCCAAAGCATCACACCCACCTGATATTGACTCTGCCAGATAAAGAGGGTCTTTCACTCGCCTTAAACCAGCAACCAACAAAAACACAGTCTGTAAAAACAAAATGATATCATAAGAGGTAAAACTGATTCTGATAATATAATGTTTTGGACTTTAAGGAGGCTGTATACATTAATGTGAAAAATGTCAGTCAGGCCAAGATGCAGCAAGAGAAATTGTTTTCTTTTAATCTGTTAAATGTAGTAACTGAAGATTTGCAATATTATTATGCAGTTACTTCTCAGTACTGATAACTGAAATACCAAAATTTGAGATAGTGAAGCTAGATTAGTATAATTCATAAATTTAAGGAAATATGTTCTTGATTAACTCACTAAGCCAGTGTGTTTGTGACTAAGGTAACCATTTGAAATTTTATGTTGTCTCTGTGCATCTAAGAAAGAAACAAAAAAACACTGATCAAACTATATAGTTACAAAATTAAAAACAACATCAACAACAAAACAAATCCAAAACAAACATTTAATATGGCTTTAAGATATTCTTATTGTAGGGTTGAGAGCCACTCAAAAATCTCATTGGTTTTTTCACCTTCAATTACCAGCAAAGAAAAGTTAAACCAAGGTGAAATGGAACAACTTCAGATAAATGACAGAAAACTGAACTCTGGTATTAGAACACTATCATAGTTAAGTTACAGATTATTAATTGCTCACCAATGACTTGTTTGCAATAGTCATGGAACAGAAATCCTGAAGGCTCAACACATACTGCTGCAAGAGTTATGAAGTGAAGGACTGATTAAGGCAATAAGTAATGACCTTTTTAGGTACAATTTTTTTTTTCAAGTTAGACATAAAAAAAAATAATATGAAATGCATGCTAAACTAAACTTATGAAGCTAGATTCATTGATTACCTTGTGGCTGTAAAATTATCTTCTCTTCACAATCTGGCTGTAAAGCAAAATGGAAAAAATACCAATTTTTTGTGTTGAGAAAAAAAATTGAAAAAACAGCACCATCTATGTGTTATAGTGAATTGTTTGACGAGAAATGTACCCTGATCTCCATGATTGTGAAGACCATTTTTAGCATTCATAGAAAACTACTTTAATCTCTCAAATCTTAATATTTACAGAGAATAATATTATTGTAATTCAAAACCCACCCACAGAACCACTGCTTGATTCTTCATTGAAGAGCTAAAGGCCACAAGGTACCTAATAATAGAAATAAACGAGAACACTCAGTGGCAATAAAAGTCATGTGGGAGAGTGGAAAAGTGCATTACAATCATAACACTTAAAATCATGATTGAGACACTTTGATTTCCTTATACATCACCTAGAGACACTTTAAAGATGCTATAATGCCCCAAAGAAGTCTCAATGATATATCAAGGTGTGAAATTATTTTTCTAGGTTTTTTTGTGAAAGGACCAGACATGTCTGAAGATGCCCCCTCTAGCAAGATTTCAAAGGATGTTAAGATATTACCAGAAGTGACTGATAACAATAGATAGTCTGCAGTTCTTTCTCTTCCAAAGTGTGTCCTTCCTTAACTGTAATAAAAAGTATGATCCCTCCACTTTCACATAGCAAAATCTATAAACAAACAAGCAAGTAAATTTGATTCTGAGTTTATCTCATTACTTTGCCTTCCTGATGGCTTTGGTCATAGTCTCAAACTTATCTTTGTCTCTGTCATACTCATTAAGATCTGTTCCTCCAAATATGATAGCAAATGGCACTGGACAATCTGGCAAAGGGTTAAAAAGAAAATTTTCATATCTCTTTCATTATCATATCCACTTTCTATAATTACTATGTTTAATGAGAATTGCTCAACCCATTTCTTTCAATTTATCTATCACACATTAATATTAATTGCAGTATTTACCCTTCCGTTTTTAAGATCTGTGGTTCTCCAATCTTCCTTCTATGCATTACCATGAATATTAGCAAAGAGATTAACATCTCACATCAAGATGCAACACAAAAATTCCGCCCTGACTTAGTTGGGAGAAGTTGCATTTTGATGACATGTTAAATGCAGATTAACTACTGTGCAGGCAACCTTGATCAAAATTATAACAGAATCAATAATCAAATAGATTCATGACTCCTGTCTCAGATTCCCATATGAGTCTGCCTGTGTCTCACTAATGTTAGTAGATCTTATCATCCATCAAGACAAACTCAGGCAGAAGCAAAAATTGTGTCCAGGAAGGGTGTTTTCAAAAGTTTAGTATTGGGTTAGTTTAGATACTGACTTACCTAATAATAGTCGTCCAGCTCTCCAAGCATGTATGCCGATGGCACACTGGAAACCATCAGTTTTAACAAACTTGTTTACTGACTCACTGTCTTCAAAGGATGTCACACAACGCAAGCAGCAGGCTATGTCATAATCAGTGAGACACCTCCTAGGAATTTACCAGTGAGAAAAGAAAAGATACTTTAAACTTGCAGTACCCTGAAAACACATATATGTGCCTGTTTACTTTTTCTAAGCCTACAATATGTGAGATTTCCTTCTTCTCAATTTCTGAAAATTTATTTAACGTAATCACCAAAGATTATCTAAACACTTTCAAAATATTTCCAAATTTGCTCTAATCATAAAAAAAAAATTGGTTTTCAGTCCCTCAAACTGAAGTACATAAGAAATTTTTGCACTAAACTCAAAACAATATTCGATAGTTAAATATGCCATTGAGCCTGTTTATTAAACTATTTTTACATTATTTTTGAAAATAAATCTAATTTTCCAGTATATTAATCTGTTAAACTAGCTACACGAGGTTTTGACGGGCAAAGAAGTCCTGAAAAGTTCTCGTGAATCTTTAATGTCTATATTTCCCGAATACAGATACACACAGCCACGAAATTTTTGTGAGAATTGCAAACCGGTCAGCGTATGGACCTTTAGAACCGGCAGATATCTTTCAATATCTAAGGGCACTTTGATATTATTCCGCTTTATATTTTAACAAAATAAAAGCTCTTCTAATTGATAAATCTGCCGAATAGAAATATTACCTTCCCAAAATGCGACCAAAAGGTGACCTCCGATTACATATTTTCGAGGTTAATCGTTGATAGTAGTACCTGTTCGCCAACATAAAACAATTACGAACACTTTATTAGATCGCGAACACTTACCTAAGTCGATCGGCGGTGGAGAAATTTCCAGTTTCCGTCGTCAAAGACGCAAGGAACAAGATCTTCATGAATTTATATCCAAATCTACTACCGGACAATAAACTTTTCGAGAACAAGTGCCGCAAAAATATCAAGACATCGTATTTATATTACATCTAAAGTAAACAGAAATTGTTTACGTGTAAGGTGGAAATCTAAATTGGTAACCACGCGTTGGTATTTGACCCGCCCCGATCCCCGCCCCCAACTGGAACTCATTCTTTACCAAACTCATAAAGATTCGCGGTCAAAATGGCGGATGAAAAGCTAGTAAAACATAAGGGTGGATGCCATTGTGGAAAGGTTCGATTTGAAGTGATGGCCCCAGCAATACTTCATGTGTACGACTGCAAGTAAGTTAAGACCTGGAAACTCGGATGCGAATTAGCCCATCCCAAATCTATGCAGAGACAATGGATTTTAGCAGACGTTGTCACAGCTTCAAACTTTGAAACAAAAAAGTTTCAAACTTTGAAACAAGTCTAATTCACAAATATGACTAAGTTACACTCTGTTGTGTCCGCCATCTTCTTACACCCATCTCCCTGGTCTTAAATAAAAAAAAACTAGCTTGATGTTCTGTAGACTCTTTTTCAGTTCATTGCAAAATTAAATTTAGAATTTTTATCAGCTGATCTTTTATTATAGTGTTATCTCTCTGTCATCATAATAAAAAAATATTACCGGTAAGATGCTTTTTGAAGGTCTCCCATTTCTTTAATAACCTGTGGCTCCAGGTAATTTCAAATCATTGACATTACCATTGGTCTTGATATGAATGTTAATTAACTTATAAAGAGTAGCTGAGGTTATTGACTATTTTTTTACTCTCTTGTGGATGTCAGTTTTCATTTTTGTCAAGCTGGGCAAAACAAGATTCCAAAAAATCATTTTACACCTTTTTGCTCCTTCATAACTTTCTTTTTGCTACACAGCTGCAGTATTTGCAAGAAGAAACAAAACAAGCATTTTATTGTTCCAAAGGATCATTTAACTTTGTTAGAGGTACATACTGTTACAGCAAGTTAACAATTAATCAAACTGTTCAAAACAAGTTACATGGCTTTTTATTGTTAAAAAAATACATCTGATCTTCTTAAGTAGTCTTTACACTTGCCTTGGATGAATCTCAAATGCCTAAATTAAAACTAATGATGTGAAACACCAAAGTTATCCAATCATGTTTTTGAATAAGTTGAATATCATTGAATATTCATGTCTAATTGCAAATGGTGGTGCTGTGATAGGCTGTGATCCATAGATTGTGTTGTGAGAGCTAAGAGTTGACCAATGCCATTACTTCCATCCCTAGTACTTAAGGGGGTAATACTCTTGACAAATCAATGATATATCAGTGGATACATTTTCTTTTCTCTAGGGTAAAGACAATTTAACCTGCTACACATTTAATACACATGCTGCAAAGCACCTTTTCTGCAAGACCTGTGGTGTGCAGAGTTTTTACGTCCCTCGATCTAATCCTGATGGTTATGGGGTCATGCCTCATTGTTTAGATGAGGGTACAGTGGAGGATGTTGAAGTTGAGGATTGTGATGGTCAGAATTGGGAGAAGTTTATTGCTGAAAATCCTGGAATCAAAGAGCGATCAAAAAAAGAATGACAGAAGCTTTCTTGATGGATAACCACAGAATGATACCATCTACACTATACTGAACCTGTTCCATTAAATCAGTCACAAATCTCCATAGGGATACATTGAACAGGTCCTAAGATAACCAAACTTACTATTATATTTTTCTAATGAAATATTCCCATTAGAAGCCTATTAGTGAAGATGATGTCCAGGCCTACAGACCTGTCACATTCCTCAAAAAACTCACCTTCTATGTAGAATTATATTTAGCTAAATTTGTACACTCAAATGAAAAAATTTCTCATCAATTTCTTGGTTTCCCACACAACTTGGTTGTAATAAGAGTTTAACCCTATATCTACCCTGATTTAGCAAGACAGAATTTCTCCTTACAATATCAATACAACTGATATCAAGAAGACAAGTGACGAGAATAAAGAAAAATATCAGTTAGAGGAATATTATGTGATCCAGTGCCAAATTCTCTGAATTTACTTCATGAGAATTGTGTAGCAGACAGTGAGGGGAATTGCTTATGAGATCTTAAGAGTGAAAGTGTTAACAAGAAGTTGCAATATAAAAGGTCCCATGATAAGTTGTCTATACATCCTTGCAGCAAAAAGGATGTTGTTGATGATAAGTTACCTAATGAAGTTGGAACTACTCCACATTTTCAGTGAGATTTCTTGCCTTTGGATGTTCATCAAGGTATCTTTCCCATTTCTGCCAGTCTAAAGCATCACATGGAACAACCTCTGCATTCTTTCTAGTTTCTTCTTCATCCAAACACTGCAGTGAAATGCCACGTCCCTCAGGATTTGAGCGAGGTTGGTAGAATGGGTGGATACCACAAGTGGAGCAAAAGTAGTGTTTAGCTTGGTGGGTGTTGAAGGTATAACAAGATATATGCCCCTCTCCCTTAGAAGAAAAAAATGATGACAACGAAGGGATAATTCGCTGGTGAGTGTAAAAGCTGGGAAAGCAAGAAAAAACACAAGGGAGGAATCTCCCCTCACCCATCATCATCACTCCATCCCAGACCCCCAACTATTTTTCCCTCTTGCTTTCTTGTTTGTCTTTACAGACTGAGATCCTGAGAATGTTAAAAGTCTCCCTTTTAACATTCAAGGTTGCTAGGAAATTATGATCTATTCCAAATACAATTTTTGTCAACATAATCTGATGAAAGGGATGATAGTTTATCTGCTTATAAAAAAATTTGCCTGTCAAGGCTGTAAAAGCCAGGTGTTTATATTTGGGTCAAGAAACTGGTTGACAAGCATGGGCTGATTTGAGATCGAAGTTTCTGATCTGCAAGGGTGTAAATCATGCCCACTGAAAGAGAGTTGACGGGAAGAAACTCAGGACAGTTTCAGGAAAGTTACGTGCAAATGAGTTTGAATGTATCAGGTAAAGCTCATTTGCACCCTGAAAATACAACACTAAGGGCATATGAATACTTGATGGAGGGGGTGAGATGCCAAGGAGACCCCTCAGGGAGACTTGAATCAGGGGTGGAGGGAGAACTTTCAATTTGTTATTATACCTACGCATCATTTAGCTTCATGAACTGGAGGAAACCTTCATACCTGTGTCAATTTAAAATTTTCTTTTGGAAGCCAGACGAGAAACATCCCTTTTTTCACACAAATGGTACAGCTGATGACAAAATTAACAGTTAGAGACATGTTATGTTCACGATCTGCTCCAATAAAGTCAAAAAATAGCTTGTATTACTTGCAGTCGTAAGCCTTCAGCACAGGTTTAGCTAAGACCTCGAAGCGAACTCTTCCACAATGACATCCTCCGGTGTGTCTAACAAGATTAACCGACATGAGCTACAAGTAATTAAGAGAATTCAACCTGAACTTCTTCGCCACGGTATTAAACTATTTTGTGTTGGCTTCGCGGTCGGGCCAGTCCCTAAGACGGGCCGGTATGTCACGCAGTTTGTCACGCAACCGAAATATCTGTTATTTCAACATTATAGTGATTCTTATTACAACTGTAAAGCAAATCCCGGAAGCTAAAATGGCCTATTTTTAAGACGTTATTCATTGACGCGACTGTGACCTGGGTGATGAGCAGGATTTAATGGGAAATTTGTGTTTTGTAATTCACCTGGTTGGGGACAACGCTGCAACACATTTGTTATCTAAGCTCGGACTTGTTTCTAATCTCCTTTCCTAGGTGGAAGCAGTTGGATTCATCGTGAATGTAACCTCCTGTACAACATAGCGCATGCTTTTTCTCTCTCTAGGGTAATGACAACCCTAAGTAACTTGCTATAAATTCAATACACATACTGCCAAAATGACTGACACAGGTCTTCCTACCAAATTACCGCATAACGATATACCATCTACACTATACTGAACCTGTTCCATTAAATTGATCACAAATGACCATATGAGTACATTAAACAGTTCCTAAGTTAACAAAACTTAGTATTGTAAGTATTTAGCGTAATATTCCCTCAAAATTAACAGAGATGATGTCCGTGCCAGCAGGCCTGTGGCATTCTGCAGATGCTGCTACGTTACCTGCTACGTTAAATATTTTTTTGTTAAATTGTACACGCAAATTATACAATATAACACAGTATTTCTTGTGTTGAGATTTCTGTTAACTTATATTTCCTTTACAACTTGGTTGTACAAGGAGTTTACCCCTCCAAACTAACACAAGAATGGGTCAAAGTCAATATGTGAGCACTGTGCACCACCCCTCCCTTAACACAGCAACAGTCAACTGATTACAAGTTAGGGTTAAAGTTGGGTTTGGGGAGGGGTAGGTGCACAGTTGGTCAGATTCTGTCATTGATTCATGAGAATTGCATAGCATGCAGTAAAGAGAATTACCGATGAGATCTTGAGAATGAATGGGTTAACAGGAAGTTGTATGTCAGCTAACAGTAAGCTGTTGATGATAATTCATCAACAACTGAATTAATTAAAATTGAATACTACTCCACATTTTCAGTGAGATTTCGGGCTTTTGGATGTTCATTAAGGTACTGTTCCCACTTCTCCCAGTTTGTAGCATCACATGGAACAACTTCTGCTTTCTTTTTAGTTTCTTCTTCATCCAAACACTGCAGTGAAATGCCACGTGCCTCAGGATTAGTGCGAGGTTGGTAGAATGGGTGGATGCCACAAGAGGAGCAAAAGTAGTGCTTAGCTTGGTGGGTGTTGAAAGTGTAACAGGATATATGCTCTCCTCCCTTGTAAGAAAAAGAAAATAATGAGAATGATGACAATGTAGGGATGATAAGGGATTGAATATAAAAGCAACCAAGAGATATTACAAGGGAGGGGGGGGGGGGAAGGACTATCAAGAGGAAAGCAAGGACTCTCCCCTTGCCCCCTTACACATCCTTTTTCACTCCTTTCCAGACCCCCACCCATTTTTGCTTGCTTGCTTTTTTGTTCGTTTATGGTGACTGGGAACCTGACTTTAAATAGTCTCTCTATGAACATCCAAGGTTCTTGTGAAAGTATAATCACTTTAAAAGAATTATCTCTATATGATTTGTTGAAGGCAATGATGCTTGAACTAGTTTTGAAAAAATGTTGTAGTCAAGGCTGTCCTGACGTTCTGTGGGCATGAGAATCACGCTTTAGTTGCAGAGAATACCACTGGTACAATCACAAGATTGTTATGTGCAAAGAGAGTTGGAATTTATCAAGAATAGCTTATTTTGCCATGGAAATAAAACAACAACGCAGAAAATACTTCGAGTTTAAAAAAAAACTTAATGAAAGGGGTAATCTCCAGGAGGAACCCCTCTGGGGGGCTTGTATTGGGGGTGGAGTTGGGGCTTACCTAATTATGTCAACCGGTCACTTTTGCATGATGCACTGGTGAAATTCTTCATACCTGCGTTAGTTTGAAATATTCCTTTGGGAGACAGACGAGAAGCATCCCTTTTTTCACACAAATGGTACAGCTGATGACAATTATGAAAAAATTAGAGGTAGATTATGTACAAAACCAACTCCGTTACATGTCAAGATCTAAAAATAGCGTCCTCTTACTTGCAATCGTAAGCCTTCAGCACGGGTTTAGCTAAGATCTCGAAGCGAACTCTTCCACAGTGACATCCTCCGGTGTGTTTAACAAGATCAGCAGACATGATTTACAAGAAATTAGGAGGACTCACCTCAAAATTCTTCGCCTCGGTTACTAGTTTACGTTGGCTATGCATCCGGGCCACTAGTAACTCACGCAATCTGTTTTAGCTAAAATAAGTCACGCAACGAAATTACTTGTTGACTGAAGTTATAGCTGTTTTCACGCAGGCGTTCCTTGACGTGATTTGAATTAGGTGAAAAGTAGGATGTAAAGAGTAATTTGCTCTATTAAAAAGACAAAAATATAATAAAAGAATTTGAAATTGCTTTGAATGGAAAATTTCGCAGCAGTACATGGTTTAACTGAATTGCGGATTGTTTCTTATCTCTTCTGTCTTAAGGAAGCAGGTCGACTCATCGGGAATTTTCAAAAATCCTTTATAATACAGCACACCGCGCTTGTCCTATCTAATTTTCATTTTGCCATCAAGGTATATCTAACCTATACCGTGTTGCCTGGTCTGTAAGAGATCACCGATGACGTCAAAATGTGGCAAGAACTAAGAAGGTGGCGCAGCAGGAAGGGGAGAGGAGGCTAGGAACGTTTGGGGTGGGTGGGGGAGGGGAGGCTTAAAAGCAAGATCATGACATCTTGTTCAAATCAACTTCAGTCAATAATTTACAAACTTGGGTTATGAATTGATTATAAGTTTTAAACAAATTACTTCAAATTTGCAAACTTTAGAAGGGGAAAACTCAATTTTTTTTTAAAAAAGGTCACAAACAGGTCTAATAGCTGCACATACAAGTGATAAGTTCTTTCCTGAGGGGAAATCAACTTCAGCAAAATGAAAATTTAGGTCTTGTAACTTAAAAACAATAACCAAAAAATACCTTTTTCTTGCTCAAAAGGGTATTGAGTTTTTGCAATTTTTTCAACAAAATACAGTACTTCCATCTGTTACCCTGTACATAAAACAAAGTGAAAAGAACATTTTTGTCCAAGTATTATTTATTTTCAAACATCCAAAACCAATTTTAAAAAAATATCACATCAATGTACAGATGGTAAGCCAGCATTTAAGTCATCACGTGGGGAACCAGAGACCCAAAAACTAATAGCTATCAGTAACAGTATCAGAGTCTTCTTCTCAGAGTGTGGCTTAAAATAAATAATCACCTCCAACTATATAAACAATGAAAATACTGTTTGATATTCCAATAATTTACATACAACAAATTTGATATCATTCTTTGGCCTCACACAGCTAAGTAGCAGCATTATAACAGCACATCATGAGGTTGTTGTAGATTTGAGCACTATAGGCAAATCTTATCAACTCCTAACTACCTCCTGAACATTTCCAATGGAACATTCTCAAGGGGTGCAACCTATAATACTGTCTGAATGAGTATGTAACAACAGACATGGTTATACGGTTCTTAATACTCAAAAGACTCAAGAAAAAAAGCAGGGTATAAAATCTAGCCCCTTAACCCTTAGAGTTGTACAATTAGGTTGCCAATTTACCCTCTTGGCAGCTCAACTGTCACTCCTTGTGAAGAAGTTAAAAGAATTTGGCTTAATACCAAAACAATGATTCTTAAGCCTCTTGAAAAGGAAGTCTTTCTGGACCAGAAGTCTTATAGTCGATAGTCAGCTAAGGCCATGGTGGTATATTTCCATCTAGAGTTCCCTTTTATTGTCCCCAACCCCTGACTCTTGGTGCTACTGCACATTGTCAGTGTAGTTTGAGGCATCTGGATGTTCCATCAAGTACTTTTCCCAATTTTCCCAGTCAAGGGCATTAATAACGACTGTATCAATTTTTTGTACAGTTCCTCCATCCAGACAATGCAGTGAAATGCCATAAGCCTTAGGATTACTGCGAGGTCGATAGAATGCATGAATTCCACATGTTGTACAGAAATAGTGTTTAGCTTGATGGGTGTTATAAGTGTAACAAGAGATGTGGCCTTCACCCTAAAAACAAAAGAAAAACAAACTCATAACCATTGAATCACCAAAATGCCAATTGGGCAGGGAGAATTAGCACACCAGTTGCAGTAAAATCAGATTTGCATTAACAAGCAATAATTGGATGAGGTTGAACATATCATGAATTATCAAAGCAGAGGTGGCAGACTTATCTGCCAAAGCCAAAGGCTGAGGCAGATAACACAGACACAAGGTTTGATAATTCATGATATCAACTTGAAGTGAAAAACAAATTTAACATTTTTTAAACAACCTGCAACAAAACACTGAAAAAAAGTTTAAGAACACTACAAGGACTAAAGGCTTGCTAACTAAGCAGAATTTAAATTCAACTTGATAAATGCAATATCTGCTGCAGATATTTAATTTTTATGTCAAAGTCACACACTATTGTATATTGATTGAATGTTCTTAACCAATCAGATTTTCATAGTAAGTCTAATGCATGTAATAGGCTTGATGAATAGAGTCAGGACAGGAGATCATCCTTTTTATCACAAGTAGGTGATGACAGTTTTACTGTTGAAAACTTGTTGATTAAAAATGTATCAACTCACACAGCCCTGACGTCGTGTTCACCTCATCTCTCAGAAAAATATGTATTTACAATTGAGTTATACACTACAAACACTGCATACTCAAATTTAACAAACGTGTGAAAGATATGTTGGATACATAATTTTATATACCTGGAGAAGTTTAAAGTATTCTTCAGGAACAAGAACAGGTGTGATCCCTTTCTTCACACATATGGTGCAACTAATGAAAACAATTGTAAGTTAGTGTCAAACATATGTTCGTATAAATATCATGAATAGTGCAATTTAATTGGCTTCGCAGCTTGCTACCTACTCCTCGACTGTCGAGCTCATAATCACAAATTGTTAAACCATGTAAAACAAATTCAGTAAAAAGGAACATTTACTTGCATTTCCAAGCCTTCAGCACGGGTTTAGCTAAGATCTCGAAGCGAACTTTGCCACAATGACAACCTCCGATGTGTTTAACAAGATGGACAGCCATCACAAATAGTAGCCGAATTCTTGGGTGGTTCTTTGAGTCCATGAAAACCTTCAAAACTAAGGGATGGCATATGTTGCTAATTTTTTTCAGGTTACCTAGCTCCCAGGATCCCACGGGACTGACGGCTTAAGAGAAGGGACGACATACCTCAAGCTTCGAAATCGTTCCTTGTCTGAAAATTGTTAAACTTCCGACGACAGCATACAATTTTTCTACCGCATTTTTAATGATTTCTCACAAACTTCTGTTAAAAATTTTAAACTCCATCAAGCAGCTTCTTTCCAATGGTTGTCTCTCATCTACTTACCTTTTAAACCACAGGAGTGATGAAAATCTCACTTCCCCCAACAATTACAAGAAATTATTCCACTGCACAATTGATGGAGATAGGCAAACCAGCCAACTAGATGGTGCAATCTCTATTAAGCTTGATATAAAACCAAATTCTCCAAACTCCTTTCGAGGGAAAAGTGTTGAAATTAAATGGGAAGAGACTATCACTGATCTTGAGACTACAGTGTACATGGCTAAGAGATTCTATTCCATTCTAAACAGTTAACCTTTTAATTTCACCTTAGCCCTTTCTTAAAATAAGGACTACATAAAGACCACAATATAATTTAAATAATTTCATAAGTTTTAACAATAACTATTCCATGCTGCAGCTTAATAGTGGCAGTCTCAACTCACGGTTGTTTAACTAATATCAATACATCTATCTGAATAATAGGACTGCTCCAAAACATGATATGCACCGATAAAAGAGAAAAAAACTGATAGTGTTTTTACAAAGAACATCCATTGACCCAAAAGGATGCAAAGCTACCTTATTTTCTGGGTAAACTTGCTGTATTGCATGGCAAAGGGCACTTTTTTTAGAGTGAGTGTACACCAAAACCTAAGTAATAATCACAGCTAATCAGGAGCATATTTTGCAAGGAGCCAATGAGAAATCAAAAGAAAAACATATAGCTCTAGCATCATAATTAGTTTCAATGACTTTCCACTTAAATTACAGCACATAAAAAGGCAAAAAAATGACAATTGCAGGCACACATTACTTTTGCCAGTTATGAAAAATTTGCAATGATTTTGCAATCTCTAAAACATATGTAATGCAATGTTTGATTAGAAACCTCTTAAACTGCAAAGCTATAGCAATTGAAGATGTTAAACCCTCACTTCTGTTGAGGATTGATTGATTAACTAATCAGAATACCTGATCTCATACAAATTTATCATTATTACTTAATGACAAGCTCTGTTTGTACTACCTTTATAATTTTGCTTGCTGTGTATAGCTTAAAAATTCATCTCCTTCTTTAAGAAGTATAAAAGTACTTAAGTATCCTCAAGGTAAACCTCTACAAAAATGAACTGATAGAGGACAAAAAGATCGAGTTCCAGTCACTTTAGACACAGCTGATTTTAAATTAAACTACAGTTCCACTCAGTAGTAAGTTAACAGTCCTTTGAAACTTAATTGTGGATACTTGATCCTTTACATGCAAAACTATTGCATAAAATGTGCAAGACAGCATTACCTATATATCAAATTGCTTATCACAGAGCCAATGAAAAACTAGATCTACTTTTCTCTCATAACTATCTCCTTACCTTCCTAAATTATAAACATAGAAGCCCTTTTACTTCCAAGATTTCAGTATCAATTCTATTTACTCTGTGTAACACATTTCTTATGATTCCAAAGCTGACAAATTGGTGATGAATCAAGCAATATCCTCTATTTTGATTATTCTCTTTCTCCTCATCACCTCTCTAATGAACAATGTAATAAAGCAAAGGCACAATCACTTGTTGATATTTCTTGGAAGTGAAAGGGTCAGTTTGTCTGTGATTTACTATGTTGTCAAGCCGTCATATGAGGGGTCCACTTTGAGAGGGTAGCAAAGGGTCTAGATGTGATGTGAGATTAAAGCCAAAATTAAGTCAAACATGATATGTGAACCCTGGATTTTTTTTTTTCATTTTGTGAAAGCCTCAACATTTCCCTGAAACTTTGCTCCAAGAAGAGAGCTTTGAAATTCACCCCTTTGAATTTGAAATGTATAAAATGCTGTTAAAAGTATATGTGATTTGGAATTTTTCTAAAATTTGTGCATAAATGGGATCAGGACCCCCCCCCCCCCCCCCCCCCCCCCCCCGTTTTGCTACCCTACTTTCACATCTCTTCTAGCATAGGCTTTTATGACCAAATTAAAATGGGTTCACTTACCTCACTTATCCCAGTATGACCTACACAAGGACAATTTTTTTTACAATCAAAGGCTTGTTTAGTTGGTGGTCATTTCCTCATCTTGTGATGTTGATGTTTGATTTAGGGGTGATATTGTAAGGAAAAATTACCAATAGATGCTAGTCACTCTAACTGGCCAAAGGGTTTATTGGAAACCTGTTGACATGCTTTGTCTATCCCTACAATTTCAGTTTACAAATAGTACTTGAATTATGCATTAGCTCCATGATCTTGTTCTCTGTTTTCTATGACTGTCACCTCCATATCATCATCATCATCCTCTGGTTTGGGACTTGGTACCTCATCCCGCCTGATATATGTAGCTCCCAGCAATGATGGGTTTGGACAGCAACAGGTTCTCTGCATTGCCAGAATCAGTGACTTCCTAAACTTCCTTAAACGCCAGGCAAAAACAAAAGGATCCATGGCAAACTTCCACAACAGGAAAAGCTGGGCAATCATCAATGCAATATACCCGTTCAATGTAAAGTTGAACAGCACTAGGGCTAAAGTTATACAGAATGGCCAAACAGTTATGATCAACATTGCTGTCAAGATCAATGTTCCGTACACAAAATCTTTTTCAGCCTGTCGTCTCCGCTGTTCTGACTCAGTAGCTTCTGCAGAAAGTCCTTCCTGTCCTGCATTTTCCCCTAAATCAGCATTTCGATGTCGTTCAGCCAGCTTACGGAACTGGAAGTAAATGGCTATGTACAGTACTAGAAGGGCAATAGTCAACAGTGTTACATGCAGTATCAAGTCCGTCAAGATGTAGGCGAAGTCATCAACATCAAACATTTCAGGCAGCAATGCGAAAAATATTGCATAAATCCAAATGAAAACCACTCCGTTGCGCGCAGATTTTGGGCTTACAAACTTGTCGTAAATTCTGGGGCTGTTTATCAGTAAATACTGAATAATCCCCAGTCCTAACATAATGAGGAAGGATGCGTTCATAGTGAAAAATGAAAAAGCTTGAGCGAAGCGAAGAAATTTCCACAGGTCTTCTGAATCGGAGGTGTAGGCCCAGAGATAGAACACCACATAAGCTGGCTCCACGATCAAACCAGTCAGGAAATTGGCGCTTGTCAAGCCAGCGATGAAGATCGCCGACGGAGTTCGAAGACACTGGAGCGGGTCTTTGTAATACGTAAACAGAAACACGCCATTGCTAATAACTGTTGCTATAGCAAGTACAAACAAAACCATGATGGAAAACGCTTCTACCATGAAGTAGACATGATAATCTTCAGAGTATGTAGAATTTGTGGCATTTGTAAGATTGGATGAATTCATGACTTGTTTGCGGAAAATATTCAGCCAGCGCCTAAGTTACAGATCTGATATAACAGCTGGACGACAGCAAATTCAGAGCTTTAACACTTCCTCGGAGGGTTATTTTCAAAGCAATTCTTTAGCAACCACTGTTAGAGGGAAGAGTCTTCGAGATCTATTTCGTAACGGCGAAGTTACCCAAGCATTGAGACTATATGATCAAAGATGGAAAATTGCAGCTTGCAAGCTGCGCACTACTGATCCGCCCACGCCAAATGCCGTCGGGACCTGGGTGAAAGTCACGCAAACGTATCTGATGAGGTTGTGTGACTAAAGAATAACAAAAAAAAAGTTGTAGATGAAAAATGTCTTTCATATTTCTTTACTTTCAGCAACAAAAGCATATCTCGTAAATTATATTAATAAGAATAACCTCTGCTATGGAGAAGATAGCACTGTTCAACAGATGTTCCTTATAATTCCAAATTCGTTAGAAGTCACCCAATAATGTTCTTTCACTGTTGGCGTCAGTGAAAGCGAAGACAAACAACCGAACAAAAGAACAAATAAACAAAGACAGTGTATTTGCAGCCTTGCCTTCAGATTGCTGTCGCGTGATCGCTCCCTAAAACTCGTATAATACAGGACAGACATTTCGAATCCTGGAAACCGCAGCTGAGGTTTGTAAATTATTAAGATCTTAGCTTTTGATGGTTTTTCGCCTCAAGTTTCACCGCAGTCATTACCGAACAAATATTAATAATAAATAAGTTTTTTTTCCTCTAAAAATAAAATAATCATTCCTTTGTTTCTTCTGTATATTTGCAGAACAATCAATTCCTTAGGTCCGAATAATGTTGACGAATTTCAATGCCCGAAGCATCTAAACATTGCGCGCAAAAGGGGCAAAAGTATTTGATCTCTAATTTCTCATATGAATACTGAACTATTATTTTTAGTGAGGAGTCTCATTTCCGCGTCTGCCGGAACGAAGCTGAGTTCGTAGAGAAGTGGACCACGTGCAAGCTTTATTTGGTTCTTACGTCCCTTTCAAAGACCCTCTCGTGTTTTCATAGCCGAAGAAGATATGTCAAGTTCATCGAATGCGACATATTCCTCCAGCGGTCCCCATGAGGACTTCGACATTTACTACGAGATAGACGTAGCCTCCATCGTTGTCATGCTGTTCTTAGCTGTTGTAACGGTTATCAGTAATGGGGCTTTTTTATGGACTTTCTACAAAGATCCACTAAAATGTCTCCGAAAGCCGTCTGCAATTTTTATCTCCGGTTTGACGAGCGCTAACTTTGTGAGCGGCCTGATTGTGGAGCCATCTTTTGTGGCGTTCTATTTCCGACATTTCCTCTCGCACTCGGCGGAATTTCTTCAGTACTTCAGTGTTGCGCAGTTGTTTGCTTTTATGACCACAACTACCTCATTCCTCGTTACTTTGGCACTGGCGATAGTTCAATACTTACTTATCAAGTTTCCCAGCAGTTATCAGAAAATCGTGAGCCCTGTATCGGCATTTGTCGGCGTACTTTCCATTTGGATTTATTCGTTAATTTTTGGCTTGATTCCATTGATGTCTAACGTCAACAGATTTGCATATGTGTTGACGAACCTTGTACTTCATATAATGATACCGACTGTTTTACTTGTAATCTTGTACATAGCTATTTATTTGGAGTTTCGGAGTCGTTTTCAAGTTAACTCTGACAGAAGAATGGAAGTACAACAAGCCTCATTTCAACTCACAGAATCCGAGGAACAGCGACGAAAAGCAGAAAAGGATTTCGCCGTCGGAACGTTCATTTTGACCTTTGTACTAATAATCCTTGTCTGGCCATTTTGTGTGTCTCTGTACATGGTGAACTGTTGTTTCACAAGGAGAACAGCTTTAGCAGTGAGAATCGCTCAACTTTTCTTACTGTGCAAGTTTGCCGTGGATCCGTTCCTGTTTGCTTGGCGTTTTCAAAAGTATAGGAAGTCGTTGTTTCTAGCAATGAGAAGTATCTGTTTTTGTTTCAAGCCAACGTTACCGCGCGCCATAATTGTCAGAAAAAATGAAAAAAACAGTCCTAAAACTGATGAGGATGATGATGATGAAGAGGGACTCGAAGTAACTGTCGTGAGGGACTGATTAAGATAAACACTTTTAAAAGATTGATATAAGATAAGGCTAATCTGTGACTAATCTTCTCAGGCGTTCTATGGGATGTCACGCAACATTCCTCCCAAAAGGGGCTTTATTCGAGGCAGAGTTATCTGACATCTTTAACGGCTGTAGAAGAGTATAATGTTTGGCAAACGCTACATATATAATTCAGGAATATTGATAGATCTCTTGCAAGAATAACGTAGACGGCAAATTCTAATAAATAGTGGAATATCCTAGAATGGTTTTAGAATGTCAAGGGGTGTCAATTCTTGATTACAGGCATTCAAAGCCATGTTTGTGATCAGTAACCCTATTACTTTCAAGTTGATCAATGTTGGTATGTCCTGCATTTATTTGACGAGTAGAATCATTAACATCATTCTCTTCAATTGTTTTGTAGAGGAACTCTAACGCTTGGCGGAAAGAGTAATATTCCTGTTAAAATGATTTTCATTCTATTTATCTATTCCTGACAAAATTACTGTACAAGACTTTACACAGTCTAGCGATACATCATTTTACGCTAGAATGGTACAATACACTAAAAAACTGCCCTACCATATTACTAATAGTTTTTTAGTGTATTCAATAGTTACAGTTGTATTTTACAAAACTATGATGAGTTGACAACATATTCCTGTCCAATGTAAAGTTCTGCCCTATTTGTGGGTTGCTTTTATCTTGGCTATGAACACCTACCTATAAAGACAGATATTGCATTTATATGAATAAAATTCAGTTTATAATATAAGGTGTTTCAGATATAATGTAGTCTTCAGCAGTATCAAAACATCCAAAAATAACTTGTTCTGATGTTACAACTAGAGTTACTACATTAGTCAATAGTAAGATGAAATACAGTGCCAAAATGATTTTTTTGCATTAAGGGATTCTATGTCGGGAACCGTGAACAATGCCTTAAGTCGTTTTTAGTTTCGCTGTTGTTTTTGTCATGACCGGAAATGTCTCCAATCAATCAATTTCCCAGAATGTACTTTGTGCTCCGAGGTATCACGTTTCTTTTCTAGTTGGTTGAGAAATCCTGCACGCGGTCGAGTTGTTGTTGATGCTTTAGTTATACCTGGATTATATTCGTCGATTAAAAGAGTTGATTAATCAGGGAACGTGTCTTTGGTGCGTTTTCGACATCTAACTCTGATTTGCAAAGGCGCAGAGAGGTGAGTCGATCTTTTTAAATTTGAAAAGGTTTTCTTTGGCGAAAACAACGATTTTGTTCAAAATATTCCCATATAATTGTATTAAGAGTAGTATTAAACGCTAGAGATCAGATTTCTTTATACTCTACCGAAAAGGTAGGGTGTTTTAGAATTAATAATATACATGAAAAAATTAGTTCTGATTGGTTAAGATAAATGCAGTTTTCAGGTAATTCAATGCAGAAGAGGCTTAAATTCAGTGCAAAGAAAGTAACAAACCAGACGCTCTGATCGGTCAATACTCATAGAAAATCACAGAGAGCCAGTAAAATGCGAGCCTTGGATGTCGCGACATTTGGATACGCTGAAAATTTGCGAGAGAAACAATGGCCGGTGTATTAAGTAGGTTTTCTTTCGCCACCGCAACAACGATTCAGCGGCGGAAAAACAGCTCTAACAACGAAAACACTGTTGGTTGTCGGTTTGGAAAAAGTGGTGTTTAGAGAAAGGAATTGCCAAGGAAATCGAAAATTATGAGCCGACCCAGCTTAACACTTTACTCGAGCGATTCTTCGCCGAAATTAAACCTCGAAACGACGATTCCATTTCATCGAAAGTGATTCGGACACAGACTGAAC